GTTTATTGTAGTTTCTTATTGAGCTACATTTGCTTTCAAATGTAGCTCAATATGTCAAATGTCTTCACATTCCAGATCGTTAGCGTGCGTGTATGGTTAAGGACGTTTATTGATTTTACGCGCATGCACCGATCACTCAGGGTGGTTTGCTCCGTAGAGCCCCTTGACACCTTTAACGAGTAACGGAATTATGAATACGGTAATAACTCCTGCACAATACCAGAAGCTGTAAAGAAGCTGAGGCTGGACCGACATGAGTACTGAAAGAAGACCTACGCTTCTGAATTTCCTGGTCCAAATGTTTGCCTGTCCTCAGCAGCCGGGCTGAAGTTACTGAAGCATTCGGTTATTTCACGTGAGAAGCTACTGATTACCGTGCACGAATTGTTTGTGACCTGAAAATTTTGATCGTCTCAATTCAGGATCCATTGTAATCAATCACATCCATTTCATTGTATAGCTTGTGTTTTGTTGCAACTTTCATGGAATTCGCTGACTGATCTCAGTTAACCACTAATCGATTGCTTCAACCGCGCCGTAGCCGCGCGCGTCACGTGTCGACAACCACAGAAGCTCCATGAAATTCAACTGAAAAAACGGAAACCTTCAGCATTCTTATACGAGGCCTCCCAAGTAGCTTGTTGTTGTAGTAAACCATTGCTTCTTCACCAACAGTAAAAGGGCCATCGCTGTCGTAGAGGCTCGTTAGAAATTCCACCTCCAGGAACTGAAACTCCTGAGCTTCTAGAACTCTTATAGGGTTCCAAGAATAACTTTGGAAAAATTGGAGCTCTTAAAAAATCTTACACCCCAAATGTCATCCATCGTGCCGATATCCACAAAAGCTTTTCTTGATGGTGAAGTTTTTGATGTTACGAATAGGTTACTCAGTATATTGGTGAAATAGTACGTCTGCACAGAACTCTGGATCAGTGCCACTGAAGCAAGCGTGGGATCAAAAAAGTCTGGAGAAGATCCTGTATGGAAAACTGAACACGCCTACCGTATGTGACCAGTACAAGGAAACAGGCATAGTTGACCAGTCTGAAGATCGATCTGGCTGTCATCTTTTTGGTTTCATCTCCCGTCCTGTCTAAAAAAATGAAGTTCATAGGGACTTTTCCTCAGGTACGACTGAAGGACCTACATTTTGATGCTTCAATTATCGCATCCTTGATCGGCATAAATGAATTCGTTGTAGGAGCAGATGGTGTCTCATCGAATTCCT